CTGGAATCATCTCTGCCTCGAGAAGGCTATGGTTGTGATTTGGTGAATAGTTATTTCTGAGCATTTGATCTTGTTTGAGAATTGTAACTTTAACATTACAAAGTGCCCTTTCTGCTTGGCTTCATGCTTTTTGGCCCAGATTCTACCTTGTCTGACATTAAGATTGTGACTGCTGCTTTATTTTTGTTTGCATTTTCTTGGTATGCACTTGCCAATAGTTAAATTTTAACCTTTCCTATTCACTATGTTTTAGGTGTGTATCTTTGATACAGCAGTGTTGGGTTTTGCCTAGTATTCCAATCTGAAAATCTTTCCCTTTAATAAGTGAGTTAAGACCATTTACATTTATGGATATGATATGTTGAGTTTTAGTTGTGTCAAAATTTATTTCATATTATGACTATATATATGTGTGTGTATATATATCCTGCCCACTGTAGCTCATTTTCTTCCAGTAATGCATTTTGACAATGTCCCTCAAGGAAAAGGGGGAGAAACGCATCCAACTAGCTGGAGCTGGATTTGGTAAATAATCCAGCAGTGGTACCCAGGGAGGACCAATTGAATAGCTCATGTTAGGGGCTCTGTAGGGATGTCCTGAGAGCTCTGTCTTCCCTCCTGTCCTTTCCAACATCTTTCAAGGCAACATTCATAAAGAATGAGAAGACACAACCAAGATTTTAAAAAGACAGAAAGCTCTTGCATGACTGGCCCCTTCTCCCCTCTGATTAGGTGTCACCTCTGACAAGAGGCCGGCCCTGACGGGTTCCCCACTCCACGTGCTCTCCTTCTGGCAAGGGTACCAGGTCTCCTTGCACCCACTGTGATACAGAATTATTTTGTTCCTAAGCTTGTTTTCTTTTTTCTCTTTTTTTTTTGAGACAGAGTCTCGCTCTGTTGCCCAGGCTAGAGTGCCGTGGCGTCAGCCTAGCTCACAGCAACCTCAAACTCCTGGGCTGAAGTGATCCTTCTGCCTCAGCCTCCCGAGTAGCTGGGACTACAGGCATGTGCCACCATGCCCGGCTAATTTTTTCTATATAATTTTAGTTGTCTGGCTAATTTCTTTCTATTTTTAGTAGAGATGGGGATCTCGCTCTTGCTCAGGCTGGTCTCGAACTCCTGACCTCGAGTGATCTTCCCGCCTTGGCCTCCCAGAGTGCTAGGATTACAGCCATGAGCCACCATGCCCAGCCCCTAAGCTTGTTTTCTATCTGACCCTCTCTTAGAGGTATTCCGGTCTCCTACTGCAATATTCTTTCCACAGTAACAGGTACCTTGTCTATTTTCTCACTTCACTGTGAGAGCACAGTGAAGATCTGATGGTTACAATTTGCATGTCCTTGCTTTGCTTATGGGAGGCCAGCAAGGAATTTCCTTAATGAATGACCTGTGGGGCCAGCTCTTTACAGGTTCCTGAGGACTTCACCTTCTCTTTTGCATAAGGAGTTGGGGGTGGCCCTGAGATTTTTAATTTTCTTTTTTACACAGGTGTCACTATTTAAAGTCTCCAAGGTCTGTTCCCTGGCTTCTCATATGGCAGGCTGCAAAAAGATCCTGACTGCAGGCTACACAACAGGAAAGGACCCAGGCAAGGCAAAGGCTCCTAGCCAGAGGTCCTCTCTGACCCCTTCCCTGCATGAGCCTTCATCTTGTCAAATGCTCCTCTGGTCTGCAGAAACTCCCATCAGAGCCAGACCGGCCTTATCCCATCCACATGTAACACAGAGGAGAAAAGCTCAAATTCTGTACCTTTACAAAGGATTCAGGCACAGCTTTAAGGCCACGCTGGCTAAGCAAGGTCCTTCAGCAGGTCTAGCTCTAGGAGCTCTGTGCTGGCTGTCCTTTCCATCTCATTTCTCTGCCCAGCTCAAATGTCACCTCCCTGGAAAATCTTTTCTCCCTCCCTAGGCAAAAATGCAGGGTGCCCCTCCTTGGTCTTTAGTGCTCCATGTATACTTCCTGCTATAGCCCCTAGCTGGGGGTGTAAGTGGCCCCCTCCCAATCAAATGACATCCACACTTCCCCTCAGGTTAGCACTCCAGCTTTCTCTCTTGGTAGCAATCACTGAAGGAAAGAGTCACCACTAATTATGAATGTGAGTCATCAACTTTTGCAATTTCGGCATCCTTAATCTCTGTGGGAAGTGCCTAAACTGCTAAGCGCCATCAGGTGGGGCTCCTCACCCTCAACACAATCACAAGCCAGAGGTGAATTCCAAGGGTGGACGGCTGTTCACACCCACGGCACAGTCCCAGCGAATCACAACGATGTGAGAGAGACCAACCTAACACACTTCAGGAGCCTCTGACTGCCAGGCCCTGACCACAGGGGCAGGGAGAACCACCCTCTTTCAAGACTAGATAGAGGTGCTTGGGGGGGGTGGGGGTTGGGGGGACTTTAAACAGTCCACAAAGACACAAACCTCAGAAAAGTAGAAATCTTGGTGAGGCACACATCCCAGCCATCAGGAGACACAACAGGAATGTCAATGGGCTAGGCCTTTCTAATACCCAAAGCCCTGGGGAGAGGCAGGGCCGACAGCCTCCCTCTCTTCCTGGACACTGCATTCCTGGCCTAGTGTTTAAGAACAACCTGGGGTTCGGAGCAGGGCACTGCCAGCCTGCGGATTCTCAGTTCATTCCTATGCTCCCCCACTCCCCTCTCCAGGCACACGTGGAGCTCACACCCCAGCACATGAGCTGTCTACACTTGGAAGTTTCTGGGTTCCACAGTGGTACTCTCAGGGCTTTTTCTTCAATTTACCTTTAGTGAAAAGGCAATCCAGGTATTAATATAGAAGAATCTGTAAACTCCTAAGGCACATTTTAAACTGTAATGTTTATTACAATTCCTAGGATGAGACACTGCAGGCAGGTTCCTTCCTGGTGCCGAGGTCTGCAGTCGCACGGTGAAGCTCCCTTTCCTTCTCGCTGGAGCCAGAGGTCAGGCAGCCCTGCAACACACAGCACAATGGCTGGCCTCAGGCACATTTCTAATGCAAGCTGGCTTAGCTTTCCTTAAGCATAGACAACAGTTTAAAACCTTTTGGGGTAATGCTAATTTTAAGGCATGCAAAAACCTTAAGTATTTTCTCCTTACTCAAGATATGGAGGATGCTTAACTCACATACATAAAAAATGCCTCAGATAAGTCTTGCTTTTTGCATTTACTGCTGCATACTGAATCAAATTCACATAGTCCGTGGTTGAGCACATAAAAGGGAATGAGGCTCACCGGCCCCCTCGCTAACAAAGACCATGGTGGGCGCTGCTTTGCACCGAACAATTCCTATTGCCTGTGGGTTTTCCTGAACGGGCACGGTGCTAGCTGCATTTCCAAGCAGGACTTACTGCATGTGGAGAACAATTTGGTTAATTTGCAACTAACTCCTAGTTCTCAGAGAAAATGTGGTCATGGTAAATGCCACTTTGAGAGATTCTTATCACCTGAGGCTTGCTTTTTTTTTTTTTTTGAGACAGAGTCTCACTGTGTTGCCCGGGCTAGAGTGCCGTGGCATCAGCCTAGCTCACAGCAACCTCAAACTCCTGGGCTCAAGCGATCCTCCTGCCTCAGCCTCCCGAGTAGCTGGGACTACAGGCATGTGCCACCATGCCCAGCTAATTTTTTCTATATATATTTTTAGCTGTCCAATTAATTTCTTTCTATTTTTGGTAGAGACGGGGTCTCGCTCTTGCTCAGGCTGGTCTCGAACTCCTGAGCTCAAACGATCCGCCCGCCTCGGCCTCCCAGAGTGCTAGGATTACAGGCGTGAGCCACCGCACCCGGCCAAGGCTTGCTTTTTATACTGAAAAAAAGATGGATTAGATGTTAGTGGACAACTTCTGAACAAACTCCTCAAGAATTGTGCAGGGTACAAAGCAAGGATAATCTACTAATCCAAGCAGGAAAACTTTGCTTGGAAAATATTTTTCTAGATTTAATGCTACTACAGAAAGTCTCTCCAAACTATTCCCCTTCCAAAAGGAAATCAGCTTTCATTGTGTACATAGACTAAATAGCTGTAAGATTCAGAACGTGTCAGCGTGCGGGTAAAAGGGTTTAAGAAAAATAAAATCAGAACGTGTAGAGATTTAAATGATGTGTGTTGTTTGATCATTCTGCAAGATATCAATTTCTGAGCCTCACTTAACATGCTTTCTCACTGACACAGGAAGCTGTTCTGAGTGTAGGTGAGCCACTTCTTTCTGGATCAGAACGGAGTCTTTATATCGGCCGCAAACATTGTGAGGACTATTCTAGCTGCGCTCTAAATAGTACCCTGTGGCTCTTAAACAATGTGAAATTTCTTATATGAAGCATTGCAAGAAGGAAAGAAAGTACTATATTTTTACCTTGGCAAAAAATTTTTTTCTCTAATACATTATGGGGTTTTTTAAAAATTTTTTTACCCCAATTCTGAAGAGTCTATAGAAGAAGCCTCTCTTTGGTTTGGGAACCGAGGGACGTATTTTCTCTTCTAGATCTAACAGCAAATTTTCCTCATTTTCACTTTCATTGATGTCCTTGAAACATCCAGATTCGATCATCTGCACATACAGAAGAGTAGGACAGAGAAGGCGTGGAGGGACACTGTGGGGTCAGGCAGTGTCTTCTAGCACCATCAGCTCCCACATGGCCCCTGTGCTCCATGCTGGTGCCTCGAGCTCCCAGGCCTGGGCCTCCCCTGGTTCCCCTTTCCTGGACTCTGACTTCCCTGCTTTCTGACATTGTCTTGGGGTAAGTGGTGTGGTCTCCTCTTCCCCTGTCTCTGAGCAGATCCCCAGTGTGGTGAACTACTGTGGGAACCATGGCTGCTGGCCAGCCCAGCTTAGGGAGCGGGACTCAGGGGTGGCAGGCAGGCCCCCACAGGCCCAAGATGGCCACCTCCTGTCCACTTCCAGTCCCTAGGACTAGGGGCAGCTGCCATGCTTCTGCACAGTTGTTAATATGGTCCTTGTCTTGCCCATCATCTAGTCCTATGGTCAAAAGTCTTGCCTCATTTTACCTCCCAAATACACACACACACACACGTACAATCTTTTCTTTCGTCATTGTTGGAACATAAACCTGCTATGCTGGAAAGGCCAGTACCTCGTTCTGCCAGGGGATGGGGACACACCCCGTAACAAATTGAGCGTAGAAGTTGTCATCTGTGGTGTCCAGGTAGACTCCTTTCACCACGGAAAACTGCTCAATATCCAAGACATCCTTGCAGTAAACTGTATGAGGCTGTGTAGCAAGAACAAAGAGAGACCAATCCACGAGATGACAGAGTAATCTGCAGTTCCCACAGTTACAAAGAATAAAATGCCTATGACGTGAGTACATAAACACTGCTCGATTTCTTTGTCAAGCCCCTCATTTGAAGAATTTTCCAATTCATAGAGTATGTCCTCCAAAGAGGCAGTTCCCAGAGCTCCTCCTCTATGGAAACTTTAGTGTCACAGATCCTATGGATCTTGTGTGCTCCAGCTCCCTTGAGTGCACACACGCTCTCTCTCTCTCTGTCACTCACACACACACCCCTCTGAGGACCACACTCTTCTCTTTTCTATAGTGGAAAGTAGATTACAAACAAGGCCAGGACGAAGGAGGATGGCATGGATGCTTTAATCGGAAGATGCAGCACAGACTGAAGAGCTGTGGAGCATGATAGAGACCACAGCTATGGGGTCTGTTAGTGACCATGCTGCCAACCCCCGGCGTTCTCCTCATAAAGCACCTCCTGAAAATTTGAGTAGCAGCTTCATGTCCCGCCCTCCCTGCCAGCTCACTGAGTGGTCTCGAGCTGACGGAGGCATCTGAGGGAGCCAGGGCCCTACCCCTCCCGTTCTGCTCCACTCCATGAGTCAGCAGGCCCCTCCTCTGGGTCAGAAGCCCAGGTCTGTGGCCCCCGCCCTGGCCCTGTGGTCCTCAGATGCAAGGGATCAGGCAAGCAGGTGGGGAGTGCCGAGGCTGGGCCTCCGCCTCTTGTCAGTGCTTGTACTTTGGGGGCTAAGGAACAAAAAGCACAGAACTTCGCAGTTGTGGGGTCCTCATCTGCTCATATAAGAGGCGCCCTGCAGTTCTGAGAAACCACTTTACTCACAGCCAGAACTTGCACACCAGTGAGTGCTATAATCAAGGCAGTGATGTTCTGCAGTCACTGGTCAGCAATACTCTGATAGTAGCTGTTGGTCATTCATGCATCCCCACAAGGTGGGGAGCGGAAGTGAGCTGGCAGGCCCCGCCTTCAGGGGACAGTCCAGAGGAAGGCATCCCAATATTTTGGTCTAGGCCAAAGGCCCAAACCCCATACTGCCCCACAACCAACGGAGTCTTAATTCCACAAAGAAAACTCCCCACTGTGTTATCATGACAGCCCCCTGAAGGCTGACTCCCTATGGGCTCGTGTGATTACTCTGTGCACTCGCAGACATGTCTGAGATGGCCCAGAGCCCCTGTCCCACTTGCTCCCCCACCCTTCTCAGGGCTGGGTCAGTGTCAGTCAAGCTCAGCTGGAACATCCCTCCTCAGAGACTGCCTTGGGCCTGCTTGCTCCTGACCCAAGCAGCCCCAGGGCCCGGCAGGAGAGAGGCTCTCAGGACCAGATGGGCCATGTGGAGGCCTTGTCACGCACTCACCACAGTTAGGCGGTTTTCTCAGTTGGCTAGTTAGTTAGTTTTACTGCCTATCTCTGCAGGCTAAGACAGCCTGCCCCAGAGCAGAGACCTTGCTTGTCTCGTTCTCCTTGTGGCCTTAATATCTAGAGCTATGTCTGGCAGGTAGTAGGCATTCAATAAATATGTACCAGCCAGGCGTGGTGGCTCACGCCTGTAATCCTAGCACTCTGGGAGGCCGAGGCAGGAGGATTGCCTGAGCTCAGGAGTTTGAGACCAGCCTTAGCAAGAGCAAGACCCCGTCTCTACTATAAATAGAAAGAAATTAGCCAAACGACTAAAAATAGAAAAAATTAGCCAGGTACGGTGGCACATGCCTGTAGTTCCAGCTACCCAGTAGGCTGAGGCAGGAGGATTGCTTGAGCCCGGGAGTTTGAGGTTGCTATGAGCTAGGCTGATGCCACGGCACTCTAGCCCAGGAAACAGAGTGAGACTCTGTCTCAAAAAAAATAAAAATAAAAAAATAAACATGTACCATTGAATTCATTCCAACAAAGCAGTTACTACTACAACATATAATACAAATATAAAATAAACCTAACAGATCCTGAACAAGTCCCACATCTAAAAATACTTTAATTGTACTATCTTAATTCCATCCTATTCTTCAAAATTACCTATCCTCATGTTTGTGTTGATATAATGCGTCTGAAGCAGACTGCCCAAGACACAGCCCAGAGTACTACTGTTTGTGTTCACTTATCCTTTTGTTGGCAAGAGTGTCCTGATTGTCTATGGGCATCCCCACCAGGCACTGACATGTGCCAGGCCCTGTGCCAAGCACTCTGGAGACATAACCTCATCTGGTTCCCACAGCACACTCAGGAGGAGGCATGGTGACCGCACCATAGTCCTTAGCGTGGGGCCCAGCCACAGTCCCAGGACCTCATGAGCAGTGGAGTAGGGGCGTGCATTCCAGGTAAAGGAAGCAGGTGTGCACTGTGGTGTGAGAAGGTGAGTGCCGGCATGAGAGGTGAAGCCGGTACTGATACCAGAAAGGGAACACTGGACATGCAGGGCCCTGAAGGGCATGTGGAGGAAGTCTCAAGGTAGTGCTGTGGCTCCTGAGGAGTGCAGTGGCTCCGCGCCTCCAGCGGTGAGAGCAGACAGTGACTCCAGGCCCTGGGAGCCAGAGCACTACTGGGAAGGTCTACACAGGGTCCGGGGGTGGCTGTGGGGAGCTGGAGATGATGGGGGAGGGAGAAAGAACCAGCTATGACAGGTACCACAGAGCAGAAGCCACACCCTGGCTGTCCCAGGTGATTCTATATCTGCTTTAAAAAAAAAACTATGTTGCATGGATCACTGTTCCTGGGGACCCTGCTACTCTAGGCAGCACACTCACATCAGGACAGAAAGGAGGGTCCAGCATATTTGCTTCCAGCCTCCTGAAGTTGATGTTCTTAAAAACAGGGTGCTGCTTCACTCCGGCTGCTCCATCGCCCTTGCAGCCCAGCCGTTCACTTGGGTTCTTGGTGAGTAACTGTACAAGAGGTGGAAATGGAGTCACAGTAAGCTCCTAGGATAAAAATGAAACTCAAAAGTCCCCTCCATAATAATAACCAAGAATTAGGGGTGGCAGAGAGCATGTACATCTAAAAAAACACTTTGAATTTCAAAGCATCAACCCCACCACATTAATTCAGATTTTATTACTTGTGTGGTACTTCACAAAGGAGTTGGGTTAACGTTTTGCCTTTGAGCTATCAAGACATAAGGGGTTGGCTAAGTTAATCCTTAAGTAAAAAAATTTTAATCATGTAAAAATTAGGGAATTTTTTAAGGAAATAGAAACTGTTGAGAATTTCAGAAATGTCATCATTTTAATGTAAATTGTATTTATAACCAGAAACCATTTTAATCTGTTCATTAAATAGATCAGTAAGGACCTCAGATGAAGCAAAAACTTAACAAACCTACCTCTAGAAACTGTATATTTTTAAAATAGAGTATCTCGTTCAAAAGTATTCCTTATATACATACTTACAACTGTCACAAATTCAATAAGCCTTCCTCCACAATTATTATTGATCAAAAAAGGTTAGGCTGTGCTCAAAAGCAGCAAATTAAAGATCTGTGCCTCTAAAATACAGCCTAAACCAGAGGTCGAGAAACTACAGACCATGGGCTACAACAGCTGCCTAATTTTGTAAATAATAAGATTTTATTGGCACCACCGTTAGTTTGCTATTGCTATTGCTATGGCTGCTTTTGCACTATAGCGGCAGAGCTGAATAGTTGTAATAGAGACCTGCGAAGTCTAAATACTTACTATCTGGCCCCTCACCAAAAAGTTTGCTTATTCCTGGCCAAATCAACATTCCAAAGACCAGAAAGCATTCTGGACCCACCTTCTCCACAGCGCTCTAGCTCCCAACCATGTTGAGCTGTGCCTACCAGGGCCTGAGTCTAAAAAGCTCTTTGCCTCCCTTATTCCTGGTAAATTCCTCGGGTTCCAACTTCTCTGGTCCCGGCCCTGCCCTAGATTAGGCTCTCCTCCTCCAGCCCCACAGCCTCAAAGCATCCCTTGCTTCTCCCTTATGACACTTATTACAACTGAGGTGAACAAACCATTTGGACAATCCTTTTTTGCCAGCCTTTCCTGTTGGGCGTGAAGCTTGCTGAGGGAAGGGCTGTGTATCCCTAGCACCTAGCCAGAGCAGGCAGAGTCTCACTCTGTCACCTAGGCTGGAGTGCAGTGGCGTCATCGTAGCTCATTGCAACCTCAAATTCCTGGGCTCAAGTGATCCTCCTGTTTCAGCCTTCCCAGTAGTTGGGACTACAGGTAAGTGCCACCTTGCCTGGCTTATTTTTTCTATTTTTGATGGAGAAGGGATCTTGGTCTTGCTCAGGTTGGTCTTGAACTCCTGAGCTCAAGTGATCCCCCTGCCTCTGCCTCCCAAAGTGCCAGGATTACAGGTGTGAGCTATGGCACCTGGCCCTGAAAATCAATTGTAATGCCAAATACAATTTCTACATCTTGGAGATTCCATGCCTTTATTATTAAGATTGCTGCCAACACACATCCATCGAAGGCTATGGATATTCTGAATGTTTGTGTCATACTCCCCACCCCCAAATTCATAGGAAGAAACTTAATCCCCAATGCAATAGAACTAATAGGTGGGGCCTTTATGAGGTAAATAGATTATGAGGGCTCTGCCCTCCTGAATGAGATTAGGGCCCTAATAAAAGAGCCCCAAGGGTGCATGTTGCTCCTTCCACCATATGAGGACACAGTAAGAAGGTTCCGTATTTGAAGCAGAGAGCACCCCTCACCAGATACTGAATCTCCTGGTGCCTTTATCTTGGACTTCCCAGCCTCCAGAACTGTGAGAAATAAATTTCTGCTGTTTATAAATTAATCCCAGTCTAAGGGATTTTATTATAGCAGCCTGAGTGGACTAAGACAGATGACCTGCCCAGGCAGCAAAGGGCACAGGAAAGAACTTTGGTCCATAGCTGGGCTCAAGTCCTGCTGCTGCTGTTTACTGTGTGACATCACAGAAACCAAACTCTTAATTTTTTTTAACTGTGAGGCTATGAGACTATCTTAGGTATCCACTGTGAGGATTAAATGAGATGATATGTCAAAGAGATTTGGAAATTATAAAAAGGTATATAAATGTCAGTCAGTCTGACCTCCCATTTGGATTACTGTAAAAACCCAACTGTTCTCTTCCTTTCCCCCTCTTCTCTCCATGCCACACAAGCCTAACACCCTAACTTTAAACCGGACCTGGTTCATTCTTTAATTAAACTCGCAGAGCACTGGGTGCAGGTGGGGCTCAGGCCTAGGTGACAGGCAGGGAGGAGGGCGCAGAGGCCAAGGGCTCTTGCAGCACCTCACAGGCCTCCCTGGCTTTACACACCTGAGTGGTCCTGGTGCAGGCTCCTCCCAGCACCTGGGGCCACTGGCTGTCCCTGCAGGTGATCCACAGCCCCTCCTCTGTCTTTTTCAGGTTAACTTTGCATCTTGACATGCCTCTCCTCTGATCCCTGTTTGTTGGAATTTAGTCCATTCTTTAAGAACTAACTGCTTCTCCTCTCAGTAATTATTGAGGATTATGTGTTACTAAACACTTTCCATGAATTATTTCATTTTATCTTCCCAACAGTCCTATAAGGCAGAAGTTACTCTCATCCATGTTTTATAAATGAGAAACTGAGGCTCAGAGAAATCAGCTCATAATGGGGAGCTGAGATGCCCCCGGGCCCCAACTTCAAAGCCAGTGCTCCTACTCACAACACAGGCCCTCACTCAGACACTGCCTTCTTCCCTGATGCCTCCAACACCCAATGGATTTCTTCATCCTGGAAACCCTTAGGCCCTCGTTCCTGTCCGTTTATGACACCTTCACATTCTGCTTTTTTTTTTTTTTACTATAAGCACTTGTATGTTTGTTTTAGGTCTAACATTAATTGCTGCTTAGGGCAGCCACTGTTTCTAGTATATATTTTTTACATTCCTGTAGCTCTGTCATGGTGTCCTGTGTGTGGTAACACTCAGGCAATAGCTATCAAACTGAAAGTAACTAGTAGTTGGTCCAAATGTTATTAAACACTGTCCACTCCAAGCAGAATGAACCAGCTGGGAGAAAAGCCAGGCTGATGCCATGGCTTAATGACAAGCCTTTAACACTCATTGCTTCATGTATGGAAACACATGAAAGGGAAAGCAAAATGATGACTCTCCAGCCACCACCAACTCACAGAGTTACTGGTATGCTTCAGCCCTAGGTATATCTGCTGGTGACTCCAGTACCCAGATAGGGACCTCTGGCCTGTCCGCTGGGTCCCATGGCCTCCTCTTCTCCAGTGGTCTCATCCTCCTCAGCCCAGCCACACTCTCCCCAGGTCACACCCTAGACTCTTCCCTCAGCTCCACTGCCTGCAGCTTCCTCTGGGCAATGCCTCTAGTCTTTCTGCCTCCATCAGGAGGTGCCCTGACTCCATGGAATCTGACCTTTCCCTAATTCTGCTCCAGAGCCAGCTTTGATTCCATGGTCCATTACTTAGTTTCTCCTCCGCAGACACCCCAGCTCCTGGCCAATCTATTGCCTCATCACCCCTGCTGGGTCAGCAGCTCCCAGCTCCTCCTAGGTGTGGGGGGCACAACACACAACCATAGCCACTCAAATCCACTGGAGCCCTAGATGCTGCCGAGGAACCCCTGCTACTTCACAGTGCTCCACACCTCCTCTGTTCTCACCTCTTCCCCCTTGAGAAAACAGAAGGCCCACAAGAGAGTCTCCCCCGAACTCGCCTCCTCCCCACTGCACTGGCTGTAGGTGCTGGCTCCCATCCTCCCCACCGTGGACTTTGCCCCAGCCAGTCCCCACTTCCTTACAGTGTTCCCGCTCAGGCCTGGGTCCTGGAGTCAGCCTGGACTCCTCCCCACAACACTGGCAAATCCTGTAGGCCCCGCCTTCAGGATCCACCTGGAGTCTGACAGTCAAGTTGTCTTCTGACACTTCCCATACCTGCTCTGCCACCACCAAGGTCTAAGCCACCCCCATCCTCACCTGAATCGCTGCAAAGCCCTGGATAGCTCCCTGTGTCCAGTCTACCCATCCCCTTCCCAGCATTCTTCTCAGAATCCTGTGATGGCTTATGGCCATCAAAGTAAAAATAACATTCAAGGTCTGACAACAATGATGGCATGGCCCCAGGTCTTCCTGCCCTCCATTCTGCCCCCTCTAAACCCTGCTACTGTCAGCTCCCACTGAAAGTAAACAGAACAAGGGGGTGGAGGCTTTTGTTTTGCTCACTGCTATATCCCCAGTGCATGGGACAGTGCCTGGCACATACAAGATGCTCAATAAATCCCTGTTTAATGAAAATAAATGAAAAAAAATGCACTCAAAAATAATAAATAGTGGTTTAAGATAAATAACAAAGAGAGTCTCTCTCAGTGATTTAGTGTCTGGGCAGCCAGGGATAGTGGGTGGAGGGCCCAAGGGTGGAGGGAACCTGACTGCTCCTTTCTCTTCCCCTGACTGTGTACCAGGTCTCTGTGCTGTGGCAAATGATGCCAGTGTCAGCCTTGCAGGGTCCTTAACAGAATCAAGGAAAGTGTCTATGCAGCGCCTGGCACAGAGCCAGGTGCACAGCACGCCTTCAAGTCAGTGTCTGCGGGGATACCATCCCTGGGCAGCTGGTTGAAGAAAGAAGAAACCCTTACTATTTCAAAACACATTAAAGGTTAGTTTTATGTTTCATTTCATATAAAGCTGGTCAATGAAACAAGGCTCATCTGAAAAGTGAACGACAGCCTTGGTACCACTCTTCCCTCTCAAGAGCATCTTTTGAGAAAGCAAACAATGAATTTCACTCTGCTTTGCCCTGACTGATCAGATCAGAACCCCAATTAAGTCATCTCCCAGATCACTTCTGGACACTTTTCTCCACTGCTCTCTTTGAACTTCGATGAGAAGCCAAGGCAGGGCTGTCACCCGGAGGCAGGCTCATCTCGAGCTCTGAGTGATCTCCACAGCCCAAGCACCTACTGCGTCGCTGCAGGGGCTGGCACCAAGCCTGGGCAGCAGGCTGCACTTGCAGGAGATTGGCAGCCCGCATACTGGAGTGAGTTGTTCAACCTCCCAGTCTCCACACAGCCTGACCTACCATTGTGCAGATAGATTTGGTGTCCTCTGAAAACTTCTTGGAATATTCCTCAGTATCCTCCTTGACTCTTCGCTCTACCTCCTCCCGTCTGACTTTCTCTTTGAATTTTCTGAATGGAGAATGTCCCTGAATCATTTCATATATAAGACAGCCAAGTCCCCACCAATCAGGACTAAATGTATAGTTTTCATTATTGATAACTTCAGGAGCTATATAACAAACACAGAAAATTTAAATTAAATTACATTTTGGTTTTAAATTTTCTTGTAATTAATTCCAATAGATAAATTATAAATTCAATGTTTGTTACAACATGGATGAATCTTAAAAACATTATGTTAAGTGAAAGAAGCCAGATACAAGCAGCCAAATATTGTGGTTCTATTTATATGAAATAGAACAGACAAATCCATAGAGACAGGAAGTCAATTAGTGGTTGCCAGGGCTGGGGGTGGGCGGTGAGGAATGTGGAGTGACTGAATAGGTATAGGGTTTCTTCTTTTTTGAGACAGAGTCTCACTGTGTTGTCCGGGCTAGAGTGCCGTGGCGTCAGCCTAGCTCACAGCAACCTCAAACTCCTGGGCTCAAGCGATCCTCCTGCCTCAGCCTCCCGAGTAGCTGGGACTACAGGCATGCGCCACCATGCCCGGCTAATTTTTTTCTATATATTTTTAGTTGTCCAATTAATTTCTTTCTATTTTAGTAGAGACGGGGTCTCGCTCTTGCTCAGGCTGGTTTGAACTCCTGAGCTCAAACAATCCGCCCTCCTCGGCCTCCCAGAAAGCTAGGATTACAGGCGTGAGCCACCGTGCTTGGCCTAGGTATAAGGTTTCTTTTTGAGGTGGCAAAAATGCTCTGAAATTAGATACTGGCGATGGTTGTGCAACTCTGTAAATACACAAAAATCCACTGAATTAAATACTGCAAATTGGTGGCCTTTATGGAATGTGAATGATATCCCAATAAAGGTGTTACTTTAAAAATGTTTGTATTCTTCATACAGGATGAACTGAATTGCCACAGAGTAACATTAACATGGGAAAATGATGCTCTTGGGAAGATCCCGCCTCCGGAAGGTGCTCCCTCCAAACATGCACAGCCATGCCCATGGGTGCCCCCAGTGCATTGCCACCTATACCTAAGTCAGTCAAAATCCCCAGAAGCTGGTGACAGCAAAAATGGCCGAGATCTTACTGCAGGACTCAGCCAGGCCCTCAGAGGCCACCCCTAGGGGTCGGCCTGGCACTGCCCACAGACCTTTGGAACAACCCCCTTTGGAATAACTCAAGTAGGATGATTTCTCGAAGGGTCTGCAAGGCCAGTGTGCATAGGGAGTGGACTTTGGCAGAGTGGCAGACCTGTAGCCTCGTCCTGGTTCTACCCTCGCTTAGCTGCCTGACTCAGGTCTCAGAGGCCTCTCTAGGCCTCACTCCTCATCCATAAGAAGAGGGGGGCAGCCTAGAGGATTCCTCAGCAGTTTCAAAACTCCGACTGGTTAAAGACTTCAAAACATCAATGTACCCTCTATCAGTGTGTTCAGACTGAGCTTCGGGTCCATTTGTGTTGGGATTTCTCTGTGTTCTGAGGCACTCAGGCATCCAGAGAGGACAAGGACCACTGAGATGCTCTCTCACATACCCATGTAGCCAACTGTTCCAACTCTTCCTCGAACCGTCTGGCCTTCTGGGATCTCCACAGCTAAACCAAGGTCTGAAATCCGGATATGTCCTGTGTGTGTTCAAATACATTACACGAGTCACAGGAAGAAGTAATGACACTTTAACAACAATAAAAATTGGGAAAAAATAATCTTTACTACCACGGATGGAAATAACAGCATTTTATACTCTGGAACATTGAAATGTAAAACTGCTCTTAACTTTTTCATATTTCTATACAGTGCATTCAGTTTCACTAACAGCAGGAAATTAGATTTATGCATGGCTGTTGATCAGGTAGTCCTTTAATCATAAAAAACCACATAAGAAGGCCGGGTGCAGTGGCTCACGCCTGTAATCCTAGCTCTCTGGGAGGCCGAGGAGGGCGGATTGTTTGAGTTCAGGAGTTCAAAACCAGCCTGAGCAAGAGCGAGACCCCATCTCTACTAAAATTAGAAAGAAATTAATTGGACAACTAAAAATATATAGAAAAAATTAGACGGGCATGGTGGCGCATGCCTGTAGTCCCAGCTACCTGGGAGGCTGAGGCAGGAGGATCGCTTGAGCCCAGGAGTTTGAGGTTGCTGTGAGCTAGGCTGACGCCACGGCACTCTAGCCCGGGCAACACAGTGAGACTCTGTCTCAAAAAAAAAAAAAAAAAACCACATAAGATAGAGGCATTGTATTTATTATTTTATTTCCATATAACTACCAGGTACATAAATGAAAAATATAATGAACATTTTATCAACTTCAAAATAGTAAATAAACACATTCTGTCAGAGTACCAGTAGGCTTAACTACAAGGACAGGTATACGTAAATGATATGGAGTTTTTCTCTAGAGAACAAATGATAATCCAGTCGGGAAAATAATAAACAAAATTAAGGTATTTCATTTAAAGAACCATATTATGTTTTAATACCTTCTATATAGGAGTATTTAAATATTTGTTGAACTATAGGCCAGGCAAGGTGGCTCACACCTGTAATCCGAGTACTCTGGGAGGCTGAGGTGGGAGAATCGCTTGAGCTCAGGGGTTCAAGATCAGCCTGAGCAAGAGTGAGACCCCATCTCTACTAAAAACAGAAAAATTAGCTGGGCATTGTGGTATGCATCTGTAGTCCCAGCTTTTCAGGAGGCTGAGGCAAGAGGATTTGCTTGAGCCCGGGAGTTTGTGGTTGCAGTGAGCTCTGATAATGCCACTGCACTCTACCCAGGGTGATAAAGCGAGACTGTCTCAAAAAAAATTTTTGCTGAACTACTATGAAAATAACAAATTACAGAACAGGTTCTTTTGAGATTATAGAAAGATAAACCAGCCCTGGAAGCAGATGCCCTCTTCAACATATTCACCACCTGTCTCCCCAGCTTCTAATATATACCTGGCATATATAGGGAAACCATTAAGTGGGTGCTCAATAAATATTTATTGAAGAAAGGAATTAACAACCAATAAATATTTACTGAACACTAAAAATATGCAACATGCCCTTCAAGGCACTGAGATCATTTTAAAACAGTCTACATTATACTTTAGACAGGAAAATCAACCTGTGACTCGGCTTGCACGCATGAGATGGACTACGCCATGCCCCTGCTCAGGCCCACTCTGAGGAGGAAGGAACGTAAAGGGTTCTGCACAGATTCTGGAGCCATATGGCCTGCGTCTGAGTCCCAGCTCTGCCATTTACTATCATGCCTCAGTTTCCTCCTTTTATATAGATACAGGCTTTCAACAATGCAGCTGTCATGTATATTTGTTTAAGCAGAATACTGGAATGTTGTGACTTATTTTTTAAGTATTATAGTCTTATTTTTCTGAGAAATGCAAATTAAAAACGACACCGAAATACCAATTCCCACCTAACAAACTAACAAAAACCCCAAAATTTAAGGACACAGTTTGCTGGCAAGGCTGTGGGGAAACAGGCAGGAATGCAGACCAAGACAATATCCTTGAGTGGAATTTGGCAACATTTGGCAAAATTGCATGTGAATATACCCACTTCTAGGAATCTATCAGAAGGATACACTGATCTCCTAGGAAATGGCATGTGCACAGGGCTACTCATTGCTACACTAACTGAAATAGCAAAAAAGTGGAAACGAGTATCAGCGAGGACTGGGCAAATAAAGCAGGTTCATCTGCAGCAGGGATAAGGGAGGGCTCCACTGAGTGTGGCAGGGAAATTCTTGTTATATATTAAGTGGAAAAGCAAAGTGGAGGCTGAGCATGGTGGCTCACGCCTGTAATCCCAGCACTGATGCAGGAGGATCACTTGAGACCAGAAGTTAGAAATTAGCCTGGTAACATAGTGAGACCCTGTCTCTACAAAAAATGTTTAAAAAGCTAGCCAGGCATAGCGATGCACTCCTGTAATCTCAGTAACTTGGAAGATTGAGGCGGGAGGACCACTTGACCCCAGGAGTTGAAGGACAACCTGGGCAAGATAGTAAGACCCCACTTCAAAAACAAATAGAAAAAAATGGGGAACAAATATTATATCTACACATATACTATATGTAAGTGAAAGAATTTTAAAAATGAGCTAAAATGATTACTTGAGGGGGTGGACAGAGACAGAATCTATATGTCTCTGAATATGCTCGGTTTTTCGGTTTTGTCTTTGGAACCACATAAATGTTTTACATAATTATAAAATTTTAAAAATTAGATCACTAAAAATTAAAAACAAAATGAAGAAAATGAACCTATGGTATATCAAGCTGATGGCTTAACCACAAAGGATATTGAGTGACTTTACAATAATTTGACTGAACAATCCTAGAACCAAAGAACTTTTGCTGATAACCAAAAGAACTGCAAAGAAATCTTATGTTGTTTTCAATAATCTTACTGATGTAATAATATTAATATTGTTATTCTAAAACTTTTACATATATAGTGGATAAAATAAATAACTAATTATGTTTGTGTTATTAGGAACTAATACTTTTAGCATTAGGCAAAAAGCACAAATATGAAATGAAGAATTTAAATAAGAATTAGAAATAACAATATGAGTCCATGATAAATATTTTCTTTTGGTCTCAAGATGCCACTTTCCACACAGAGGACCAGGGCTTTGGAGAAATGGTGGGTTCCAGATCTTACTCAACATGCATGCAGGACAATCCTTATATAGAAGAAGAGAGGAAAGTTATTAAAGACTCCTGGGTGCCCACTAGCCAAAGTTGGGATGATCTGAATAGCAAAAAGAATAATGATGCCAATAGATTAAAACCTTTCAAATGTGTTAAAATCCACAAGTTCATAATGATACCAAGACAAAACAAAAATTTCATTGGTTGTCCTGAAGGATGATAGAGAACTAAGGCAATATCCTGACAAGTAGAGATAAAGAGAAGTACTCATCTGCTTTTTCTGAAATAGGCAAATAAATGTTGATGAGATAAAGTTTTTTTAACAGATGAATCCCAACAAATAAGTGCAAAAGGAATGATAGCATTAGAATATCATTATATTATAATCTCAATGAAGCAATGTATCTGAATATTGATCATTAAACCATTAAGTGAAAGACTAGCAGCGAACTGAATAATGGATGGTTGAGGCCGACCAACATCCAAGAGCACTGATCAATCTTAACACCATAAAAAGAGACACTTGGCCATCACATCCCTCTTGATGTAATGTAACAGGAAGTGCTCAAGAAGGATGCTTACCAAAAATCAAACCTGGATCTCTTCCAGCCTCCAGATCTAACTACTGGCTTACAGAAAAACAGGGGGATAGGGCACACATTAAATCCAGCCGAATCCAGAATATGGGAAATTCCACAAGACAAACGACCTGTGTATTAGTTTGCTAGGGCTGCCATGATAAAGTACCAGAGACTAGGGGCTTCAACAACAGAAACTTATTTTCTCACATTCTAGAGGCTAGAAGTCCGAGATCAAGATGTTGGCAGGGTTGGTTTTATTCTCAGGACTCTCTCCTTGGCTTGGGGGAAGCCACTTTCTTCCTCTGTCTTCACATGGTCATCTCTCTGCGAGTGTCTGAGTCCTAATCTCTTCTTATAGGACACTTGTCATATTGGATTTAGGCCCATCCTAATAACCTCATTTTAACTTCATTACCTCTATAAGACTCCATCTCCAAATACAGTCACATTCTGAGGTGGTGGGGGTTAGGACTTCAACATATAAATTTTGGGGGGACACAATTTTTGGCCTATAACACCTAGTTTCACAAGCAAATAAATGACAAAAAGAAGCAGGGAGGAGGAACCTATGAGGTTAAAAAGTAAGAATATTATCAACCAACTATTAATATAATGTGGACTTCATTGACTACTCAATATAAAACTCTAAAAACACTTATGAAACAGAAAATTCAAAGCTAATGGGGTATTATGTCATGTTAAGAAATCTTTAAATATTTTTGGATGTAATAATAGCATTGCCTTTATGATTAAAGAGTGTCCTTATCTTTCATAGATACATACTTTATGGATAAAATGATGTAATATATAGCTTTTCTTTTAAAATAATTATCAGTAATGCTACTGGTTTTTACAATGGCTCCCTTTTTATCTCTCTTTTGAGAATATATATATTTCATAAAACTGAAAATACAAGCATGACAGTCTTCTTTGTTATCTAAATTACCAGCTGAATTTTATGAACCAAGTCCCCTTTAATAAGTAACTTTGCAAAAACAGAGTGCTGGCATATTTGGGATGGACAAATGCTAAATGTGCCTCACAGCCTAAAGCAGATGATAATCAGCTTTTTTACCTAATGCCACCACCAACGTAAAATTCTGCTTTAAAGATGAAAACAGAAAACCTAACAAGGTGTCTAGAAGGGAAATGAGGAAGTATTTACACAATCACGTTACTCTTTTTTTTTCCTGAGAGACGGGGTCTCACTATGTTGCCCAGGCTGGAGTGCAGTGGCTATTCATGTGTGCAATCATAGCGCACTACACCCTCGAACTCTGGCCTCAAGCAATCCTCCCACCTCAACTCTGAGTAGCTGGGACTATAAGCCAGCTTTCATGTTACTCCTAACATGTAAATTTAATTTATAAGTAAGTAAGATGACTTATATATGACTTACTGTCAGAAACTCATTCCTAGAAATTTTAATTGTATGAAAGTAAAAAATCCTAAAATCAGTTGCGTTTTTTAAGTCATAGAAACTGAAGTATGGTCCTATACATAGGATTTCAGTTTTTTTTTTTTTTTTGAGACAGAGTCTCACTCTGTTGTCCGGGCTAGAGTGCCATGGCGTCATCCTAGCTCACAGCAACCTCAAACTCCTGGGCTCAAGCAATCCTTCTGCCTCAGCCTCCCGAGTAGCTGGGACTACAGGCATGCGCCACCATGCCCGGCTAATTTTTTCTATATATTTTTAGTTGTCCGATTAATTTCTTTCTATTTTTAGTAGAGACAGGGTCTTGCTCTTGCTCAGGCTGGTTTCGAACTCCTGAGCTCAAACAATCAGCCCGCCTCGGCCTCCCAGAGTGCTAGGATTACAGGCGTGAGCCACCGCGCCCGGCCTAGGATTCCATTTTTAAAAGGGAAACTGAAAGAAAAGGAAATTAAGTCTCCTGAAATCAAAAAGAGTAAAACAACGATTTGTCATTCCTTTCCATTCTTTGTTTTCCTTAAGAGATGGAGTCTGGCTACATTGCCCAGGCAGGCCTTGAACTCCTGGGCTCAAGTGATCCTCCTGCCTCAGCCTCCTGAGTACAGCTTTCTATTCTTAATTGGAACATGACTGGGTCCATGATTTATAAAGAACAAATAACACAGTAATTACCACATAAATGGTTTTGGGCTCTTGCTTCAGGGGAGGATGGAGAAGGTCTTGGTAGGCCAAGGTTACCACCTACTACAACTAGAAGAACCTAACAAATCACAAAAGTCATCCTTTTAAAGGCATCAGCACGTCGTGGTAGTAACACAGACTAGATGTATTAAATTTCCAAAGCAGCAAGGCCCCCAGGGGTGCACTGACAAGTGGCAGTGGTATTTCCTTAGAAGCATTTGCACATTCCATACAAACCAGGACCTACCAACTGGGAGGGGTCTGACACAAATGCTCCAGCTGCCTCCACCTGGGACTGAGAGACTGAGAGTCTAGCATGGACCGCTGGGGGCTACTGCTAGCACAGAGACACTAGCACAAATTTTGGCACTCATGTGGCACTGAAGAGACAAACCTGGAGACCTGAGGACCTGAAAAGTAGACTGGTCTCTCCTCAAAATATCAGGAAATAGAATGTAGCAATCTAAAGGGTAACACATTATGCCCAAGTTGGATGTGCTTCAGGAATGAAAGGTTAATTTAACATTTGAAAATAAATTTGTTCAATTAACTACATTAACAGAAAATGAACATCATAATCATCTTGATAGATAAAAGCACTAACAAAATTCAACATTCATTTTTTAAATGAAAAAATTTAAATCTGATAAAGAATTGCTACACAAGTACTACAGCAAATTCATGCTTAATGTTGACATATTAGAAGGTTGCCCCTAAGATAAGGAACAAGAAAAGAATTCCTGCTTACCAATTCTATTCAACATTGAACTGAAAGTCCTACCCACTATCATATGTAAGAGAAAGAAATAAAAGGCATAAGAATTGGAATGGGCCAGGCGCGGTGGCTCACGCCTTGTAATCCTAGCACTTTGGGAGGCCAAGGTGGGAGGATTGAGTGAGGCCAGGAGTTCAAGACTAGCCTGGGGCCGGGCGTGGTGGCTCATGCCTGTAATCCTAGCACTCTGGGAGGCCGAGGCGGGAGGACTGTTTGAGCTCAGGAGTTCGAAACCAGCCTGAGCAAGAGCGAGACCCTGTCTCTACTAAAAATAGAAAAAATTAATTGTACAACTAAAAATACATAGAAAAAAATTAGCTGGGCATGGTGGTGCATGCCTGTAGTCCCAGCTACTCGGGAGGCTGAGGCAGAAGGATTGCTTGAGCCCAGGAGTTCGAGGTTGCTGTGAGCTAGGATGACATCACGGCACTCACTCTAGCCAAGGCAACAAAGCGAGACTCTGTCTTAAAAAAAAAAAAAAAAAAAAAAAAAGACTAGCCTGGGAGACATAGCAAGATCTTGTCTCTATAAAAAAATAAAAAAATTAGCCAGGCATGGTGGCACATAGCTGTAGTCCCAGCTACTTGTGAGGCTGAGGTCGGAGGACCCCTTGAGCCTGGCAGTGTCAGGTTGCAGTAAGCTGTGATGATGCACTGCTGCGGCAAGAGGGGGAGAACCTGTCTCCAAAAGAAAAAAAACAAAAAAGAATTGTAATGGTAGACATAAAACTGTCATCTGCTGATGGCGTGATGGTGTATGTAGAAAAATCCAAAAGAATCCACAAGCTGTTAGAATTAAGTGACTTTAGCAAGGTTGGTAGACTTAAAGTCGATTGTAATTATAACTAAAAACACAATCCATGAAAAAAAAATTGATAAACAGGATTTCGTTAAAGTTAAAAACTTCTGCTTTGTGAAAGAAACTATTAAGAAAATGAAAAGACAAGTCACAGACTGGGAGAAAATCTTTGCAAAACACCTATCTGATAAAGGACTGGTATCAAAATATGCATAGTATTTTTAAAATTCAACAATAAGAAAACAGACAATCCAATTAAAAAATGGGCAAAAGATATGTCTCAAAAAAAAAAAGAAGATGACGAAAATGTAGAACATTTTGTGGTGTAGGAGTAGGCAAATATTTCTTAAGCAAAACTTAAAAAGCACTAGACATAACGGAAAAATAATTCATAAATCGTAATGTACTAAAATTAAGAATGGCTGGGGCTTCTGCTTCCAGCTGAGAAGGAGTAACTGACACAAAACTTGCTTTTCCACCATAATAACTAAAACATGGTCAATTGGCATCAGAGGACTACAGTCCCCACAGAAGAGAAACAGGGGGCTGACCCTGTGTTCATTGTGGGGTCCCGCCCAGGAGTGCCTTTTGGATAGGGGCACAGGAGTGGGAACCTAAGCAGAGGAGGTGGTCTTACCAAGTTAGGGAAGCAGATATTAGGATTAGGGGAAAATGGCTCAATTCAAATGTGTGGGGTAAAGTTCTGGAGAGGGAGCTACGCAGAGAAAAATCTACTAAAAGTACATGAAAAGGTGTCAGTCTCAGTGTAAGGTCTGCTCCCCCACCTTGTTTTCACTCCTAATAGTTTCTTTTGATTCTTCCTTTATGTTTCTTTACATATATATAAGAACACACAAATATACATTACTAATTCTCCTCTTTTTTTATACAAAAGGTAGCATACTACACACACTACTGCACCTACTTTTTTTCAATTCACAGCATATCCTGAAGATCACTGCATTTCCCATACAGAGTGTGTCCTTCCCTTTTCAAGCCACTTTAATGCCACCTCTGCTTGGCAGCATGGCACCACATGTGAACCACAGGCTGAGAGCCAGAAGCTATGGACACAACCTTAGGCAAGTTTACTTCCCAAATCTTGGTATCACCTTCCAATAAGATGAGGATTCCAGTACTCTCCTCCCTCACAGGGTGGGGGTTTCATGCATAAATTAGATAAAAAGTGTGAGGGCACTAGGCAGAGGTATAAAAGGAGCTGGGCATTCAAAATATCCCCCTCAGGACTCTGCCTGACACACCTGTTCTCTTCTCCCTTGCAGGAGTCCATGTGGCCTTATCTCACACTCTACTAGGCTGTAAGACCCTTCTCAGCCAAGACGACTCACTTGAGAAAAGCTCCCTCCCAACACTGCCTGTGTAGCTCTATGTGAGCACAACAGCCGTCCTGGCAGTGGTGCCCACGCTTGTGCTCTAGGTACGATCGTCACCCAGGGACACCATAGCTGAGTGGGCACCCACGTGCTGCTGACTGGGAGCCAGCCCAACAGGGCCATTCCCTGTCCACAGCCACAGGGTCCCTACGCAGACATCTGGGGCCCTGCTCTGTGACACATGCTCTGTGACAAGAGGACAGAACCAAGGGCAGCATGACAATGTTTAGGGGGCACGGAAATAAAAACCAAAGGAATAAAGCCAGACGAGAGTCAACAACAAGAAAGAGGGAAAATGTTCTCACTTTGAGTTTACTCTAATATGCTTCTAAAACTCAATCTTAACTGAAAATTATGACTTTCTCTGCTTCTTGCCTAAATATAGAGGAACAACAATGTTATCTATATATTATTTTTTTCAAGAACGCATTCCAAAGAGTTTCTCTTTTTGTTGTTGTTTCTATTCTGTATTAATTGGCTAAATCCACATTAACTTTCTGTCTGCAAGTCCCTCTAACAGAGTCTATGCTTTAGACATGAAAAGCTCGCTCACTTACCACGATCATCGAGGAGAATATTCTCAGGCTTTAAGTCTCTACAAGGAAAGAAACAACAAAAACCTCAATTATTCAGAAGCTGACACCATGATTCCTGAGTACCCAGCAGAAATAACCACAGATGTCTCTGCGGCAATGAGGGAAAGCCAGAACAGCAGGAAACAAAGCCATCCTTTGTGAGCCCTTTACATAGCCACAGGCTGTAGTTGTCACATGGCAGGACAAGACTTCTACAAAATTCATCTCAACAGACAATATGTATATGAAGACAATGTAAAGTGAACTGCTTTGCATAGTTACACAGATTCAAAAACATTGCGGTGATTAAATGTGCAGCCCAGTAGTAAGGAAAGTCCTTAAGTAAATTAGTCCTTAATGAACTTGGCTCAATTTCTCTTATCATTAATATATATATA